ATTCAGGTATAAATAATCCCTTCACTGACTTAATGGAAAAATGGTTTGGGAGATGGAAGGGCTGGATGACCTCAATCTTAACCTCCTTGATCATAAGTGGCTGGAGTTTTAATTTTAGTAGGATGCTGCATAATTCCTTATGTCCAAAAACTAATACAGCAATTAATTGAGACAGCCCTCACCAAACAATTACCCCTGCCCCACCAAAATAACTTAGTTCTATTAGAAACACAGGAACATGAGAGCCAATGACTCCCAAATGAGTTTGAAGAAAAGAATTTAAATTAAGAGGGGGGAAATTGTGAGAAAAATGACCTTTTCTATCAAGGTAGTTGTTACTCTCTTAGATTACTTAAAAATTCCTCAGGTCACCATCTTAGGTGACTTGCACATTTAAAGGGTCCTTGCTTCCTGTACAACTCCATTGCCCACCAAACTGCATGCCCTAACCCATCCCCCAAGCCTTTGAGGGAGATTGTGAACCTTTCACCTGGACAAATCCCGGGTGAGGGGCAGGTACGGCTGCATCAGGGATATAAGAAGGAACCACTGTCAGCCATTTTGTGCTTATGTGTTGCTTAGTGGGAGGGAGCACATGCTTGCACCCTATTGATCAAGAGAAATTGCCTCGTCAAGATTTTCTGTCTCTTGTGTGTCTGTTTTCGGCATCAGAGGGTTATTAATTCCAACAATGGGAGATTCTACCTTGAAAGAAAGGGGTTCTGAAGGGGCTCCCTTGCTGGAGCAAGGTTTTCTCTCTCGCTTCTTGGTTATTACTGGACCTAACTGGGGTTAACAGGGGGTGACTGGAGATTCAGAAAAGACACAGGACAGACAGACAGAAAGTTGGGGTCAGGTGTGTTGTACGCTTAGCTGGAGACACACAACCCTCATTGCTTCTTTTCTCTATCTTGATTCTTTAAGGCCGTTCTTTAAAACCTCGTTTCAAACTTCTTCCTGAGACTTGCACTGTCCCATGTTTGCTCTTAGCTTATCTTAGGTTACTTGCTCTAAAATTCTTTTGCCCCAGGCTTGCACTGTTCCATCTCTATTTAGCACTCTCAAAGCCCTGGTGCTCAAACTTGCAAACAAGCAGCCATGCCTAAAAACTGCGTATGTATAACTCTTAAGGTCTCTGTCCTTAGACTTGCACTGTGCACTGTTCCATGTCCTCTTTGGCTTTTCTTTAGCTTAGCTTTCCTAAGGACTGTGTATGAAGTTCTTTCTCAGCTTTGCTTTCTGAAACCTATGCTAAAGTTCTCCATGAAGACTTTCTATCAACCCCTCTTTAACAATTCTTTTCCCTTCCAAAAGCTTCTCACACCAAAAGGCCCAAAGTAAAAGATTCTTCCCAACATTCAAAGGCAAAAAGCCCCCCAAAGCAAAAAGCAAAAAGTCCAAAAGCCCAAAGTAAAGCCCCAAAAGGCAAAAGCCCTTATTCCTCCTTCAGAGGTCTTTTACAGCAGAAAACAGGGTGGAGCCACAGGGAGGAGCGTGACATTGCAGCAGGAGAAACCTGCGTTCCTGCTTCTCTGAACACAACTTAGGAGACGCAGCTGTTCCGCCTTTCCCTGTTTCATGGCGGGGGCTGTGCCTATCTCGGCCTACAGGTAAAAGCAATTAACTGCATCTCACCTTGCTTGTGTCCAGTTCTCACAGGCGTTAATCCACTCCCCACAGGGCTCTATCTTAAAGCAAGCAGTGTGTGCCTAAATCAGAGACAACATGATGCCATCTTTCCCACAGCAGGATCCTTGAGTCCAGGAATAAATCATGAAAAAAGTTTCCAGAACATCTGCCTATGGATCCACTTTGGGCACTGCACCCCAGCAAATTCCTCTGCCATCCAAAGGAGCCATACTGTAGCAGGGAGGAGGATCAGAAGAAAACAAAGGAGGCCTGAGTTCTGATAAAGTAGCAGGGTGGGAGGGACAGCATAGCAGAGAGATAAAACCTAAAGAATTCAAAGGTGAAGAAGGTCACATAGCACTAGGGGTAGAAGGGCACTTAGCACTAGGGTGAAGTAGCCTATAGAATTGCATGTAACCACATATGGGTTAAACCTTGTTTTTTCATTTTATTGCCTCTGTTACCTGCTTGCAAGTGTATATAAGGTGAGACCCCTTTGTTCTCGGGGCTCAGACTTTGGACAGGAGTCTGCTGGGTCTGTGCTGGCACAATAAAATGTTGCTTCCTGCTAATTGCTTCAAGAGTCCTGTCTCTCAGCTAGCAAACTCCCACAACAATAACCACACCCTCTCACACAAGCTCTAGATTGGCCTGAGCCTTGTTCCAGTGTTGTCCTTTCCTTGATCCTTCTCCCTCATCCATGGATATTACAGGTGATTCTACATTTGTGATTCCTATATCCTATTACCTTCTGTTAGTAACTGACCCATGATTCATTATTATTTAAATTAATTCTCTCTATGACAACTACTGATCTCATGCAGTTCTGGCTCTGTGCAGTCACATTAATCAACGTAATTTTGATTCATTTAATCCTTGTGATAATTATGAGCTGGTACTGTGATTATGCCCATTTTTCAAATGTGGGAACTGAAAACCAGGAGGTCAATTACCTTGCCAAGATCAGAAAGTCAGGGAGTGGAAATCACAGTGTGAACCCAGGCTGTCTGGATCCAATGTCAACGGGCCACCATTTTATGCTGCATGCTACACTTACCCTATGACACCTCACCCTCCCCCATCTGATTTATAAACTTCTACCTCCTTAATAAATTGTAATCCATTCCATCTTCCCATTCTGATAACCAAGGCTGTCATTCTGTTTCTTTAGGCCAGATTCTAGACATCGAATCCTTCCTGTTTTGTTTACAAATTATTTTTTACCTTAGTTTTTGCTTTCTAGAGGAGAGGGGGAGGGACTAGGAAACTGCTATAACATTTTAACTTTGGTTAAAATGTCATTCAGGCCTTGGTGGGCAGACAAGATCTTCCCCAGATCCGGGCTCAGACAACTGATTTATCCAGTTGTCCAGGTCATAAATTTCCAGTTGCCATCAGTTCGGCAGAATCAAAATGTTCCATTCCTCAACAAAGACTTCCTGATGACTTGTGTGTGTAAATATCTGAGCATTGACCTCTCCTGGAGAGATGCCATGTTGAAAGGTGCTTATATTTCCAAGGATGCCTGGGAGAAGTACAGGAAGTGGTTGAGCTCTGACAACATCCCCAAAAGGTTCAGAAACAAAGATCATGAACCCGAGTTCATGAGTTCATGAGTCTTTGGTGCAGACCATTCTGTGTTTTGTAAGCTGACAAGTCAATTTGGACGTTTTCTCCATCACTTTCTGGTGTGGCCTCCTGTGTAGGACAGATTATAAGGCAACCCCATGGTCTCCGCATGTTTTCACTCAATCAATGTAAATTCTGGTGGCCACCTCATTCCAGTCTGTCTCTCCATTGTTGGCTTTGAGAATGGAAGCTGCCATTTGGAGAAGACCACATAGAAAAACAGTGTATGTGGACTCTGGAAGCAAAGAGTGCTGGCATCTGACCAATAGCAAGCAAGAAACTCATGGCACCATCTACAACCTGAAGGGACTGTATTCTGTCTGAGAACCTGACTAAGGTTAGGTGTTGAGCTAACATCTAATGACCAAGGTTAGATGTGTTGCTAGTTGAGCCTCAGATGAAACTGATGTCCCAACACCTTCACGGCAACCCTGGAGGACTGTAAGCCCAGAACTCATCTAAGCTGTGTTCAGACCCCTGTCCTACAGAAACCCTGGCATGATGAATGTGTGTTGTGTTAGAAAGCTGCCAACTTTTTGATGTAGTTGTTACATGGAGAGAAAAATGATGCCCCATTTCATCAAAGCATCAAAGCATGTGTGTAACCCAAGTATCATGATGTCTGCACATGCTCCCAGGCATACAGTCCAATCGCCTGTATAGATATCTGTCCACTTTTGAAGAACCCAGGTGCCTGCAGGACACCACCCTCCACCATCACTCATAGATAAGGACACTGGTATACAGCCAGTCTTTGATCACATAGAAGAGAGAGCCACCAGCTTAGTTATTTTGGTGGATCTGGAGACTAGTGGGGCTTGGGGTCTTCAGGTGCCTCTAGCAAATAGAGACCCATGAAAACACAACTGGAATCCAACCCCAGCATGCAGGGCAGAGGTCCCTTTCCTTTTCCCTGTGAGCAGAGAGTAGCATTGGCTAAGCAATGCTTTGTAACAGGGGAATAAAATAGAAGCTTACCAGAGAAGTTCATCCTTATCCCCTGGGGAATGCACTTTCCATAGCCCAGATGGCCTCCAGAGCTCCCAAGGGAGCCTTGGCCCCAAGAACCAGACTCTTGTTTCCAGGAAGGGATCTGTTTTAGGAATTTGGATTCAAGACTTGGGCTCAGGAAAAACTCATGGGTCTCCAGAGCTCAGCCTTTCCTTTCAGTCCTCCCTATTGCCACTTCCCATGTGTCTCTTTCCTGCAAAACCTTCAGATATCTTCCTACAGCTCACCCCAAGGAGAGCTGGTTCCTGAGAGAGTTTCACTGCAATTGCATTTCTCAGTCACCTGGAGCCATAGTGAGTCACTGGTCTAAACCAGTGCCCTTGACCTCAGGAACAATGCAGGAACAATGAGATGACCCCAACTCCAGCAGAAGTGTAGAACTAGCCACACTTTGTCATCATGGATATGGATTCACCATTGACCAAGAGTGACGTTTTTTCCTGCATAGACCATCGGTTAAAATTTCATTAAAATTTAAAAAGCATTTTTCCCCATTTTGATATTTATTTGATCTGAATTAGAGTGGTAGAGACTGTTGCTAGATACAACATGGGGCATTATGGGTACTGGAAAGAAAAGGACAGATTGGGTTTTCTCGACTATGAAGCCAATAGTTCTTGGCTTCTGTCTTCTCTCTTGGGCCATACATGGATTCAGCATCTCTTTCTTCAAAAAAGCAAAACTAAGCAAAGTCCCAGCTTGTGGCAGAGGCTTTGATCCCAGGGTTCGTATCAGATATCCTTTATGTACCTGACTATGGCATTCATAATATTCTTGGAACAGGGGAAGGAGAAAAGCTTCTTGTCAAAGAAAATTATGCACCCGTGGAAGCCATCCTCCACGTGGTACCAGGTCACAGGGATCCCGTGGTCTTCCAAACGCTTCTTGTAGAGCAAGGCATCATCGCGGAGGGTGTCCCCTTCACAGCTCACCACGAAGGCCTCAGGAAGCCGAGCGATGACCTCATCATCTGCTATGAGGGGTGAATTTCCTACATCCAAAGTATGCTTGGTCTCCAGATACGCGGCCTCGTTAAAAGGTCCAGGAAACTCGGGTTCATGATCTTTGCTTCTGAACCTTTTGGGGATGTTGTCAGAGCTCAACCACTTCCTGTACTTCTCCCAGGCATCCTCAGAAATACAAGTACCTTTCAACATGGCGTCTTTCCAGGAGAGGTCAATGCTCAGATATTTACACACACAAGTCATCATGAAGTCTCTATTGAGGAATGGAATATTTTGATTCTGCCGAACTGATGGCAACTGGAAGTTTATGACCTGGACAATTGGATAAATCAGGACCTGAGCCCGGATCTGGGGAAGATCTTGTCTGCCCACCAAGGCCTGAATGACATTGGCCACAGCCCCACCTCCAATGCTTTCTCCACAGAGCACAACCCGGGAGGGGTCCACCCCATAGGTTTCCAGGGTCTTTAGGAAGTGGATGGAGGCATTCAGGCAATCGTAGGAAGCAACAGGGAAGTGGTAGTCAGGGAGCTTGCGGTACCTGGAGAGGAAAGAGGGAACACAGCACACTGGTGAGTACAGGTGTTTCTGGAGGCCATTTGAACAGTGTCCTGCACCCCCTCCAGGAGACCATACCTGATTAAATCCTCAGCATGTGCCTAATGACTAAGGACGGTCATCCCTACTTTTCCTATGTGGATGTGAAGAACCTACCCAGAGTCTGAGTGGTTGGGATTCTCCATTCAAACACACGCTCTGCTTCCCACAGATGTACAAACCCCACATGGGATCATGCAAGTTGAAAGCTATTAGCTTTGAAGCAGAACAACCAGCAATGACAGAAAAAAGGCAACTGAAGCTGCTTCTGGTCCCACTGCCTGTCGGTAGAGATGAGGAAGCTAGGGTTGAGGTCAAGGTGAAGCTGCTTTTAGCCAGAGAGGAAAGGAAAAGAGAGGTTTCCCTGTACTCATCATCTCTCAGTTATCTCCTTCTAGGTACTACCCTTTGCAGCCTTGCAGCCTGCATCTCCTTCGCTGACTAAGTAATTCCACCAACAGTTCTGGCCCATGGGCCAGATCTTTGCAGGTCTCTGGAATATGATACACTGAACAATTTCCTACAAGTTACCATTGCAGGTGCTGACACACACCTTTCTGTTCTCCCTATTCAAGGGATCAACACTGTCTCCAAGGCCTTTGGATACATGGGCTCTAATATTGGAAGTTCAGATACCATGGCAGTCAGGTGGAAGTAAGTCACAGGACAATGGAAAGATACCGCCCTCCTCAGTGTCATCAGAGAGGACCAGAGATGCTAAGTAACTTTGGAGTCACACAGCTGAACTCTGTCTGGACTGGGGGATGGCAAGGTGTGAAGGAATCCATTGTAGAGACAGAATCTAACTGGGAGGTTTTTAATTTCTCTCACTTCCTTCTCTAAACTGTGTCCTGTTGAGTTTTGATGCATGGACCAAGAACCAGAATCATAGTGAGCACCATGATTCTGCTCTCCATCCACTCAAAGGCCCCTTTTGTTTCCCAAGGACCAGGGGTTGTGTCTTCAGTCTTTCTTCACATAGGTATGAGAAGCTATGGGGCTTTCCTAAGCAGGTAGGTAGGTATTTTTTAATAATGCAATGAGCACCTGTAGAGAAATTACCCCAGCAATGACAAAGACTTTGATCACGATCTTAAGCCAACCCTGACTAACTCCACCATCTTGGCCCAGATGGATGCCCCTCATCCCAAGGAGGGAAGGGTTGCCCTGACTCCATATCTCTCAACCCTTTTCTTTCCTTTTTATATCATTCCATTGGGTCCATGTATATTCCTACAAAATATTCTTTTGGGTTTTGATTTTTATTGTTGTTAAGTTGACAAATAGAAGTATTTGACCTTACGTAAGTTTTGAAATTTTTCACATGACATTGTGTTCTTCCGGGCCATTGACTGAATGACTGTGTCAATAGCACACTCGCTCCAGTATGGCCTGTCCATAAAATCCTTAGCAGTGGGCATTTTTCCATGTTTCTGCTGATTTGAACCATTGCAAGAGTGTGTCTACAGTCAGACCCCTCTAACTGGCCTCCAATCATTCAGGATGCCTACCCATGGAATACCCATCAATGGTCTTGAGCCACTCACCCAACTGACAGCAGGACCGAGTCCGTCTCCCGGGCCAGGAAACTGCACAGGCTGTGGTAACAATCTGCAAGACAAGATCAAGTCCACCATGGAGTGAGCCCAACACTTCCCACAACAGACCAAGGGGCCGCAACTGTCAACGAGGCAGAAAAGGGTGACATCCTCTCTCTGTTACTATTCCTGTCTCCTCTGAAGTAACACCGGGTTGATTCTGCCTGGGCAAAGCCTGATATTTGCCCTGGATGTCAGGGTTCAAGTGCACCTTGGAGCTCACATTCTATAGCATTTAATTTGACAGTAAGAGAAACAAAGGACATGGAAGACTTAGGGATCTGAAATGGACAAAGCATCTGATTCCCTAGCTGCCCCAACTCATTGGATCAAGACCTCTGAGGGGTAGTATAGCACCAGGATTTTCCATATCACATCAGGTAATTACAGTGTTGAGCGGGGGGCTTGCTAGTGGGGCATATGTGCCATCAGCTCTGTGATGAGGAGATGAAAGAACAGGTACAGAGACAAACACTCTGAGGAGTCTAGGCTCAGTACGGGGTCAGCTTCTATGCAAAGGTTGTACACCGGCAGATCTTGGTCCCTTTGCACAACATCATCTGGGGATGTCTTCAAGTATTGATGCTTGTGCCTAAACACAGAAGGACTGAGCCAGCCTGGGAGGGACTGAGGTGAATGTGACCTTAAGGTCCTAGGGGAGTTCAAAGACAGTCAAGGTAGAGACCATTGCTAGGTATGAAGGTGCCCTGTGACATGTGCATCTTCACTTGCCTTCTGCAATCCTGACATCTTTTCTTCCTCAATTGCCTCATGTCACTTCTGTTTCAGAGCTTTGCACTTACCACCCCTTTGGTGTAGACTTAATAGGGTGGGGACTAGGGTGAGATCAGCAAAGCTTCAACAGAGCTGCAAAATGGAAGGGACCTAGGACCCTCAGTCTTCTAGAAAAATCGTATTTTGGTGCACTATTTTACAAAGTCAAAATGAATGATAAGCAAAATAACAAAGATATAACAAGGTTCTCAGGTGTCACTACACATGACATTCTCACTGTGGGCTACTGCTGTTCTGTGAATTTTCACCTTGTTCATCATGGATATTTCTTTTTGCAGTAGTATTATTTACTTTAGTATTACACTACTTGTCCAGTACTATTTGCCCACATCACTGAGGGGTTTTATTGTCCCTTGTTTTGGAGCTGAGGCCCATCCCTCACTACTCTCAACCACATCCTAGCCCAGCTCAGAATGCTCTTCCCAGCTCTGCAGGGCAGGCTCCTCCACAACCACTGGGCCTGGGTTCAAACCTCACCTTCTTGGAGAGGCTCAGTCTGAGTGGAAGATTGAACTGCAGTGCCTCTCTGAGTCACCTCTGTACCACCACTTGTGTCATCCACATGGGAACCCCTCCTACTTGTATTCTGCATTGTCCAGCTCCCACCTTTGACTGACAGGCATGTGAGGACAGGGGCAGGTCCTCCAAGGTCTTGACCATGTGAGCCATGTGCAGGTCTGAGGCTAAATCGGTGCTCATAACTACCTGCTGAGCCATCCCTGCTTTTACCTTGGAAATGCCATTATCCCTCAGCAGAGGCAGTGACTCCAGGTGGGGGGCTCCCAGGGCCCTGTGACAGGGAAGGGTGCTCTTGGAAAAGGGTGGGGTGGGTCCTGTACATGACACATACTCATACTCACTTGTGGATGGCAGAGGGCCTCATGGCAACACCTTCAGCTACAGAACAGCCATGGTTATGCCCACCAGCAGGGGCAGTAAGCGACCCTCATCCTAAGAAGTTCTACAAGAGGAGAAGGTGGCCTTTGCATATGGGCAAATTTTGACATGCATGCATCTATCTGTTCATGCATACATGCATCCGTCCATCCCTTTGTGCATTTGCAAACCTATTCTTTCCTGCAATTATTCTCCCATCCATTCTTCTATCTATTCATGCATATATTCAAAAATGAAAATGGGCCAGACACTGGGGATCCAGCAACAAACCCCACAGAGGTCTTCCCTGCACTCTTGGAGATCCCACTCCGAGTGGGGTAGACAAACAGTACACAAGGAGACACACGGCGGTGGACCAACATAAGCACAGATTGTGGCAGGTGTCACGAAGACATTTAAGAAGGAAGATGTCAGGGATGCAGACTAGGATATAGGGTCTGGCCTCAAGGATGCAGGGAGAATTCTTTAGGCAAGATATTGGGGGAGGCACTCTAAGGAGGGCCATTTGAGATACGAAGGAAGATCAAGAACTAATTGCCCAGTTGGGGCGAAGGGGACATCTTTTGAGTCGAGCAAGCAGCAAGTACAAGCTGCCCAATGTATCTGTGAAGCAGAGCAGTACAGGGGCTGTAGCACTGCCAGCACACAAGAAGGTTCAGGTGACTGAGTCAAGAGAGGTCAATGCGGGGCACAGGACGGGCTGAAGTGCAGTAGTGACAAGCTCTGAGCTGAATGCTGGTAGGGGAAAGAGTGGAGCATTGTCACTTTGGAGGCATGGAGGTGGAGGTAAGCAAGAGAAAATGGGTTTGGACCACAGTGGTCCAAGAGAGCTGAGGGAACCCCATGGATTTGGGATCATTGTGGGACAGTCGGAACAGGCTGGTGGCTGTGAGGGGGAGGAGAAGAGAGGAGTCACAGCCAGGGCCCTGGCAGTCTGGGACATCGCTGCCTCCACCTGGACTCAGACATCATATCATAACAAACATTGCCAGGGAAGCTGCATTGCCATGGGCTGATGTGACACTCAGCCTCTCTTTGTCCTCCCTAGACAAAGCTCCATTGCTGCATGCTCTGAGCCCTCCCGTGAGGTCCTCAGGGGAGCTGGGTGAGGCAGTGTAGGTAGTGAGGCCCTTCATCCCTCCCACCCCACTCCACAGGGACGCTCCTCACCCAGGCTGCCGAACATTGCACCCCCTCCATGGAAGAAGATGATGCCTCGATGGAGACGGGGGGATGCGGCCTTGGGCTGGAACAGCCTCACGGGGATTGTCCCGAAACGTAAGTTGGTCACCAACACTTTAGGGTCCTTCTTTATGGGTAGCAAGTCGTGTAAAAATTGGACAAATCCAGGCATGGAGGCAATTTTCAGTTTTTCCAGTATATTCCCCTGTTGGAGGTAAGACACAGAAGAGAGGCTTGAGTTGGGGTGGGGAGGTGGAGAGAGGAAGATGCTGGGGACCCTCCACCGCTAAGGTGTTTTCACCATTTCGCACCTGCTTCCTGTGAGTTTAATGGGGTCACTGGGACACAATGGGCTCTGAGCTGTGTCCAGATATGGGTGGGTTTTTAGACTTTTCCTCCCAAAAGCCTTTGTTTGCTTGCTTGTCTTGTTTTTGTTTTTTTGACTGTGCTGTGTAGCCCAAGCTGGCCTCAGACTCACGATCCTCCTGCCTTTCCCTCCCAAGTGCTGGGAGCTCCATTGTGCCACCACATCTAGCTCCAAAAGGTCTTGAGAGAATGGTGATGTTGCTAGAATTTGGGTGTTTGTCAACTCCCAGATTCAAGTTGAAAGGTCATTGTCATTGTCAGTGTTAAGAGACGGGACCGTTTAGGGGTGATCCAGCTGTGTCCTCATGCATGGATTGAGTCTGCATGGATGGCTTGGTTATCTCCGGAGCGGAGCCCGATGGATGACTTCAGCCAGATTTTCTCTGAGTTACCACACAGGCACACTTGCCTTCTGGCCAAGGGATGGCACAAGAAGGCCCATGGCTGATGCCATGCTCCTTGGCTTCCCAACATCCAGAACTGTGGGGCAAGTAAACTCCCACTGTGTACCATTTACCTGACCTGTGGGACTGTTAGAGAGAAAAAGGACTGAGATGGGTATGATTGCCAAAGCAGGAGCCTGGTTTGGAGGTGAGTGGGGAAAAGTCATCAAAGGGAACAAAGCCTGTTGTCCAGGGCAAGTGTCCCCTCACCTCGTTCTCCATCTACCCTTTTACTGTGTGCTGGACTCTACTCAGCCCGAGATGGCAAAGATCGTTCATCACCTGTGTCATCACTCCTCATTGACACCTGGGGCTCTGGTTCAGCAGAAAAGATAAAGTGGTCAGGTAGGGGTGCGTGTTGTGAGCTCAGGACATGAGGTTATGGCCTGGCTACATATTTTCCAAGAGTATTATTTTTTTCTTTGGCAGTACTGGGGTTTGAACTCAGAGTTTTGCACTTGCTAGACAAGTGCTACACTGCTTGAGCCTTTTTGCCCAGGCTGGCCTAGACCGTGGTCCTCCTATTTTACACTTTGGGCTGTTATAGGGTTGACAGGTGCACCCACTGCACCCAGCTACTGGTTGAGATGGGGTCTCATGAACTTTTTTATCCAGGATGACCTCAAACTGATCTCAGCCTCCCAAATTGCTAGATTATAGGGGTGAACCTCGGCACCCATTAGACAATTTATTTTTAAACTAATAGTTTAACCCAACAGAAACACAACAATATCTGAATGTTTCATGAAATTTGGTTGCAAGTATCATTTCATGTAATAAGTGCTCCTCTATGGATCTCACATTTGGGACATCCTTGTCATAAGGAGAACAGCACACGGGATCATAATACTGAAAATAGTAACATCTTGTACTCATTACACCCTCACCTGTCAGTACTGGTCAAAGTGGCTTGAATTATTAACTTGCTTAAACTTCTCAAACCCAAGCACAATGATCAGCTCCACTTTACAGGTGGGGAAACTGAGGCATGCCATAGTCCAAGTGGTCTGCCAGAGTTGTTCAGTGAGTAAGATGCAGAACTTAGACTCTCAACCAGTAAACTAGAAAGAGTTCAATCTGAGTCCCCCCACCGACTGACTGAGTTTCACTCCCTCAGTTGCAGCATGAGGAATAATGGAAGCCGTGGATGAGGACCAAAGATGAGGTCGGAGGACAGACAGCACCCTCATGGGGAAGAGCTCCCTGACGGGGTCTGGCAGTTGGGAGCCATACCTGTTACTCGCATGCATTTGATCTTGTCTCAAGTTCAGTGGGGGCCCCAGTGCTTTCCTGCACAGAGAGACTTCCCCAAAGGGAACGCCAAGCAATGATTTCCCTGCCGAGTTGGAAGAGAGTGAGATAACCTACAAGGTGACCTGCTTTTCCCACCCAGTGACTCCCATCTGAGAACTCCAGGCCTCCAGGATGAGCTGCCTGGACCTACACCAACTCAGCTCTGAGCACTCTGACTTCAAGGCACTTCTTTTTTCCCATGTTAAACAGTCTTTTGGGAGCATTTTAATTGGCATATATTAGTGTAAGGGGGGTTTCACTGTGACCCTCCATCTATGCTTACAGTGTACCTTAGTTAGGTTCACCGTGCCATCACTCTCCCTACCTCCCCCTCTCCTTCTTAAAACAATGTCCACAGGTCTCATTGTTCTAGTTCATCCAAGTGTATCAAGGACATTGACCATATTCACTCTTCTTCTCCCCCTCCATTCACCCTCCCCATTCCCAGTGGTACCCACACCAAACAAGAGCTGGGGTTTTTTTCTTTGTTCATTTGTTTGTTTGTTTGTTTTGTGGTACAGGGGTATGAACTCAAGGTCTATACCGTGAGCCACTCCACCAACCCTTTTTTGAGATGGTTTTTATCTGAGATAGGGTCTTGTGCACTATTTGCCTGAGCTGGCTTCGAACCTTGATCCTACTGATCTCTGCCTCCTGAGAAGCTAGGATTACAGGCATGAGCCACTAGCACCCAGCATGCACCCTTGAGTTCAAGCCCCAGTGCCACCCAAAAAAAAGAAAAAAAAAAAAACCCACGACTTTATAGCATGGATAGATCACCCAGGTGTCTCCCTGCCAACAAACTGAGTGCTTCTGGTACACCAAGATCCCATCCCATCCAGCCCTGATCTCCACCATGAAGCGCAGTCAATGTTTGTCCAGGGAATTTTGGACAATGTGAGGTGACCTCAGAGCTCTCTAAGCCTCACATTCTGAGAGGTCAATCTGAGAGGTCACTTGATACACCATGGAGTTGCATTATTTTGTTTTGCCTTAGCTTTTCCAAGAGCCTACGTTTCCATAGCTGGTAAGTCAAGAGAAGTCAAGTGGGGGAAGTCAGATTATTGTTATAAACTGCAGTATTTTTAGGAAAGCTTAAGGTCCAGACTTCAGATGGATCCTGAAAGTCCTTTACAATTTTTTTTTGTATGACTGGGGTTTGAACTCAGGGCTTCTCACTCTACCACTCAAGCCACACCTCTATTCCACTTAGCTCTGGTTATTTTTATATATGTTGTCTAACGAACTGCTTAGGCTGGCATCAATCCACAATTCTCCCCATCTCAGTCTTCCAAGTAGCTAGGATTACAGGTGCGAGCCACCAGTGTCCAGCTAGAAAGCAAACTCTACAAACATTCTAGCATTGTTTGCCCTTAAATTCAATGAAGGTTGTATATTATCTAGACAGATAGGTAATAGACAGATAGATGGATATGTAGATAATAGATAGATAGATAGATAATAGCTGGATAGAAAAACAATAGATAGATGATAGATAGATAGATAGATAGATAGATAGATAGATAGATAGATAGATAGATGATATAAAGATTAGATGCAGATTACATTTTTTAGCAGTGTTAGGTATCAAGCCCCAGGCTTTCACAGACTAGGCAAGTGTTCTACCACTGCCTCTGCCTCCACCCTGTACATCTTTTAGTAGCGTTGAGATCCTTCTTAGCAATCTTTGAACCTATGAGAATTTCAGGCAGTACTCTGTCTTTGTCCTTGGAGACTTAATCAACACAGTACTAGTAATCTGAGCCCTTTCTGAGGACCTGGCACTGTGCTGCTTATTCTCAACGCTTTGCTTATTTACTGCCGCATCCCCTGTATGAAAAACCTCCCTTTCTGTCTTCACTTTTTAGAGGAGAAAACAAAGAGTCAAAACTATGAGGACACAAGGCTGGTACCTAAGCATCCTGTCTGACACTCTGGGTTGTCTGACACCAAAAAGAGGCTCTTGATTCCTGGACTATACTGTATTTTTAAGTTTTTGCTCAAGTCCTGGAACATCTCTTGGAACAACAATGTCATTACCACTGGGATGTCCTCATACTTATCATGACCGTGGGCAGCTTGCCGGGGCAGGGGACCAGGGCTGGGCTGAGCAGGCAGGGTCTCACAGGCTGAACTTGCCCTTCATGGCCAGCCCTAGACCCATCTCAATCTCTGAGGCTCTGTGTGCAGGCGCAGCAGCTGCCATCAGCGGGCGCTTACTTGGGGGCTACCGTCGAGGAAACACCACAGGGTAGAAAGATGTCAGGGTTTCCAGGCTACTTCCACAGCCGAGGCCCTCATTTTCTGTCCTGGGCCCCCAAACTAGCCTGCAGCTCCACGGGGACTGCAGTCACTGGCTTGAGACCATGTGACTTCCAGGAATGCACAGGCACAGGGTGAGTGAGACAAGCAGAGGATTCACTCAGCCTGCGACCTTGGATCAGATCAGCTTGTATAATTACTACTTGAATTGCTCCTTTCTCCAGAAGCGATCTGTACCCATGGTGAAGAATCCCACCCGCATGGGACCACACTCTTTCATCAAACTTTTCTAAACCTATTTATTAACCCTTATCACATGTCATCTAGAGCTTTACCAACCTGATAAGATAGATACTGCTGCCCCATTTACAGCTGAGGAAACAGACCTAGAGAGGTTAAGCAACTGGCCCAAGGCCACACAGCTAGTGCGAGGCAGTGCAGTGCAGGAGTGTACAGCAGAAAGCCTGGCTGCAGCCAGCACCTCTCACCTGGGCACCTCCCACCTCCTCATTCACAGTTGCCCTTGAGGTAATTAGTGCAAACTTTCCCACAACATTTTCCAGTGCACAGAAAAGAGGCTGGTGACTGGGACTTGGTAAATGTGTAAAGCAGAAGGGAGAGAAGTGAGGGAGGAGGAAGTGAAGGAACAGAAGGAGGGAGGGAGGAAGTGGAGGGGGAAGGGAAAGGGGAAGGGAAGGAAAGGAAAGGGAAAGGAAAGGAGGTGGGAAGAGATGGAAGGGAACCAAAGGAAGGAACAGAGGAAGCCAGGGAGGAGGAAAGAGAAGAAAGAAAGAGGGAAGGAAGGAAAGAAGGAATGAAGGAAGGAAGGAAAGAAAGAAGGAGGCTGGAAGAGTGGCTCAAGTGGTAGAGCACCTGCTTTGCAAATGTGAAGCCCTGGGGTCAAACCACAGCCCACCAGAAAAAAGAAAAAAGGAGGAAGGAAGGAAGGAAGGAAAGAAGGGAGGAAGAGATGAAGGGAACAAAAGAAGGAAGTGAGGAAGCCAGGACAGAGGGAAGAGAAGAAAGATTGAAGGAAAGATGGAAGGAAGGAAGAAAGAAAGAAGGAAGGAAGGAAAGAAGGGAAGAAGGAGGAAGGGATGCAGAGGGACAATAGCAGATTCAAGAGTGCAGCAAATTCTGTCTTGGGGGAATCTGGAGTGAGACAGAGAGAGAGAGAGAGAGAGAGAGAAAGAGAGAGAGAGAGAGAGAGCAGGGAAATGAAGAAAGAGGAACAAGGAGGACAGTGTGCCCTAACCTGTGTGGGGCCGAGGGTCTTCACTCACCAGGGCAATCACATACAGCAGCATGCAGTGCAGGAACCTGAACTTGACCTTATGCGAGAAGGCAGAGGGGATTTCTGCGGTGAGGAGGTGGTGACCCACAACCCAGACCAGGAGTCCCAGGGAAAAGGTGGGCAGCCCCCCTAGCAGCACCAGCCAAAAAATGACCATGATCCCAGGCTCCCAGAGATGCTGCCCCTGAAGTGACAGGAGAACTTGTGTGGGAGCATCTGTCCTGGTTATATGGACTGCCACCTTCACCCCACTGCTCGTGGGCTATGCCTGACACAATGGCCTGACGTGGCCTCTTGGACAGTGGCACAAGCCAGACAATGAGAGCTGGAGGAACCTGCTCCCCAAGGAACACAGGACCCAGGAGACCCATCACCCCCACACCAGGGGGTGGAGGGATTGGCTCATGGGGCTTCCTGCTCCTAGGGATGCAAGGGAGAGGTCTTGTGGGGGTTGCATAGGTCTCTGAGGCCTGACCCTTTGTTGTGAGGCAGGATGCAAGGTGCCCTTTCACTCCAGACTGCTAGGGTACAAAGCACAGCTCATTCCCAGGTCCTTATGAGCTGCCCACCGTATTTGCTGCTCCTGTTCAGGCCAGAGGAGCAGCAAGGACCCAAGTGTCACGAAGATCACCTCAGGCCCCAGTGCGTCAGGGTTTAATGCTGTCTTTTCTGCTTTCTGATGCTGTAATCTTTCATGGGTTCTCTGCTCTCTGCAGCTGTGTGGTGGAGATGGTGAGAGTTGCAAAGCAGGAGGAAATGCATAGAAAGAACTGGGACAAGGTCCTGGCACAAAGCGAGCCCAACACAAGTGTGTGTCAAGCCTGTTTATAATATGCTTCTGAGGCACCTGCACACCCATGTTTATTGCGGCACTATTCACAATAGCCAAGTTATGGAAACAGCCAAGATGCCCCACCACTGACGAATGGATTAAGAAAATGTGGTATCTATACACAATGGAATTTTATGCAGCCATGAAGAAGAACGAAATGTTATCATTCGCTGGTAAATGGATGGAATTGGAGAACATCATTCTGAGTGAGGTTAGCCTGGCTCAAAAAACCAAAAATCGTATGTTCTCCCTCATATGTGGACATTAGATCAAGGGCAAACACAACAAGGGGATTGGACTTTGAGCACATGATAAAAGCGAGAGCACACAAGGGAGGGTGAGGATAGGTAAGACACCTAAAAAACTAGCTAGCATTTGTTGCCCTTAACGCAGAGAAACTAAAGCAGATACCTTAAAGCAACTGAGGCCAATAGGAGAAGGGGACCAGGAACTAGAGAAAAGGTGAGATCAAAAAGATTAACCTAGAAGGCAACACCCACGCACAGGAAATCAATGTGAGTCAATGCCCTGTATAGCTATCCTTATCTCAACCAGCAAAACCCCTTGTTCCTTCCTATTATTGCTTATACTCTCTCTACAACAAAATTAGACATAGGGCAAAATAGTTTCTGCTGGGTATTGGGGGGGGAGAGGGAGGGGGCGGAGTGGGTGGTAAGGGAGGGAGTGGGGGCAGGGGGGAGAAATGAACCAAGCCTTGTACGCACATATGAATAATAAAAGAAAAATGAAAAAAAATGCTTCTGAGCATTTCTTTCTGTCTTGGAAGAAAGCAAAGTGTGCAAACACTGTCCCCAAACCAGCACTGACACCATTTTCAGAGAGGGAATTGGAGGCTGGAGGAAGCCCAGTTCTGCCAGGGGTGGTGGGAACTCTTCTTCCTGATCCTAGTGTCCTAGGGATATACAAACCATCTCCAGGGGAATTCTGATCTGTTTGGTCAAACTGTGATCTGGCTGGAAGCCCATGGGATGCAGAGGCCTGAGCAGGAGGGCAGGCTCCAGAGGGAGAGGTGGCTGCACACCTGTCATCCAGCTACGTGGGAAGCACAGACAGGTGGATCCTGGTCCAGGCCGGCCCAGGCAATGAGGGAGATCCTGTCTCAAAAATAACCAATGCAAATGAGGGCTGGGGGCAAGGCTTGAGTGGCAGCTTGACACCCCAGCTCAAAACCTTTTCTTTTAATTTTTGTTCATTTTGTTGGCACTGGGGTTTGAATTCAGGTCCTCCTACTTGCTAGGGAGCTTCTCTACCACTTGAGCCCCTCTAGCTTTCATTTTTCTTTATGGCTGAGTATTATTCCAACACACACACACACACACACACACACAACATGTACGCACGAGCGCGCACACACGTTTTCTTTGCCATTGGTGGGCTGTTGGGCACCTTCGTTGGTTCCACAATTTAGCAACAAAGTTGCGATAAATATCTGTATAAAGGTATCTCTCTTACAAAGAGCTTAAAAACTAAACAGCAAAAGAAGAAATAACCCAATTAATAAATGGACAAACTGAACAGACGGTTCTCAGAAGAAGTACAAATGGCTAATAAACACAGGAAGAAATGTTCACCATCCTTAGCCATAAAGGAAACGCAAATCAAAACTAAGATTCCAGTTCACTGCAGTCGGATTGGCAATCACCAAGAAACCAAGCAACAAATGCTGGTGAGGGTGCAGGGGTGGGGGTGGGGAGAACCCTCATCCAATGTTGGCGGGAATGTAAATTAGCGCAGCCGCTATGGAAATCAGTTGTGAGGTGCCCCAAAAACTAAAAATAGAGAGCTTCTATATCCCAATTTCGGGGTTGCTGCTCAGGTGTGTTCATTTGGGGAGAATTCCTCAAGCTGAAAATTTATGACATATGTGCACTTTGCATCTCATATGTATAGATGCTTATTAGAGCAAAGGAAAAATCTGCTTAAAATGAGAGGGTATTAACACACCCATCTGTTTGTTGTAGCATCCTGCTTGGCTGGTCATCACAGCCCTCCATGGATGAAAGGATAAAAAAAAATGAGGGCTGAAGATGTAGCTCAGCAGTAGAGCCTGTGCCAAGCATGCACAAGGTCCAGGCTGTCATCCTTGGCACCTACAAAAATATGTGTGATAGGAACATGTGGTGGAATATTATTCAGCCTTTAAAAAGTCTTAAGTATGAACTTAGGGCCCCGTCCTTGCTAGGCAGGTGCTCTGCCACTTGAGCATCACTCCACCCCTTTTTGCTTTTAGTTATTTTTCAGCTAGGGTCTTGATTTTGCCCAGGTAAGCTTCAGACTGCCTCCCCGTAGCTGAGATGACAGGGATGGGCCATCATGCCCAGCTTGTTACTTTCTTTTTCATGGCAATCAAATAAACAAAGGGGAGGAATTGTCTCCACCTTTCCTGTGAACCCCCTAGACCCTCATTCACATTGGTTAATTTTGAGACAGGATCTTGCTCGATGCCTGGGCTGGCCTGGACCAGGATCCACATGTTTGTGCTTCCCACGAGATGACAGGCGTGAAGCCACCTCTCCCAGCTCTGATTGACTGAGGTGGGGGTCCCACTAACTTTTTATCTGGGCTGGCATCAAACTGTGATCCTCTCGATCTCTGCCTCCCAAGTAGCTAGGATTACAGGCATGAGGCACCATACCTGGCTCACTTATTCTTGTTTTTATGTACCTGTCTGTTGTTCAACATGCTAGAGCTTTTTAACATTCCTGTTGTTGGTTGATGTTCGAGTTTTTGCCAGTTAATCAACTTATTGTCTGTTTATTCCAAATTCACAATTTTTGCCTGCTCTGTGAAAATAGAGCTGGAACCTTTCATATTTTTTTCTTTGCCTCTTGACACCAAAGCTCCACCAGTGAAGGGGATGGGGAGACACTGCAGGAGAGAAAGGATCTGCCTGCCGCTGGTCCCAGGCACTCACACGGCTCCTGTGGCACATGAAAATTTCACCAATGCACCGCTTCTGTAGTGTGTGAGGACGAGTTAACATACGGAATCCTGAGCTGTATCAGGGTCCTGGAGTAAAAGAGATCACCAGCAAGAAGCAAGAGGAGCCCAAAAGAAATAAGTGCAAAAAAAAGATGAAATAAAAAGTGCAGATGGAAGAAACAGCCACAATCCACAACCTTCACACCAAGACAGATACCCAAGGAAAACCCCACTTTCCACTCCACAGAGCCAGCTGGCAAGGCCACGGAGTGACCCCAGAATGGGCAAAGCAGCTGCTCTGCTGCTGCACTGGAGTGAGCTTCTTCTCTTGCTCCTGGCAATTACCAAACCTAACTGGGCCTAACTGGGCCTAACTGGGGGTGACAAGAGATGCAGAAAGGACACAGGATAGACAGACGGACAGAAAGTGGGATCAGGTGTGGTGGGAGCTTGGATGGAGATGCACAGCAGCCTCATTACTTTTTTATCTCCATTATTTTCTTCATTTACTCTGCTTCTTTTCTCTATCTTTATTCTTTAAGGCCTTACTTTTTTACAATTTCTTTAAAACCTTGCTTCATTATTCTTTAAAACCTCTTTCCTTAGACTCGCTCTGTCCCATGTTTTTTCCTAGCTTTTCTTTAGCATAATCTCTCTTAAAGTCTTTGCCCCCAGACTTGCACTGTCCCATGTTCTCTCTTTAGCTTTCTTAAAACCTCAGTGCTCAGACTTGCAGACGACAGCAGCCACACCTAAAAACTGCATATGCATAACTCTTAAAGCCTCAGCAGTGCTCAGACTCGCACCGTCCCATGTTCTCTTTAGCTTTTCTTTAGCTTAGCTTTACTTTTCTTTTTTCTGAATCAACCCTTTAATTTTTTTTTTATTCATATGTGCATATAATGTTTGGGTCATTTCTTCCCCCTTCCCCCTACCTCCTCCCTTTCCCCTCCAACTCCCTCCCTTACCCCCCCCCCACCCATTGCTACCAGGCAGAAACTATTCTGCCCTTATCTCTAATTTTGTTGAAGAGAGATAGCTTAGCTTTTCCAAAGCCTATGTATAAAGTTCTCAGTGCAGACTTTCTATCAAACCCTCTTAGCAATTCCCCTTTAGGAATTCACTTCCCTTCAGCAATTCTCTCTCAGTCATTTGTTTTCCCCCTTTCAGCAATCTTCCCTTCCAAGAGCCTCCCACATCCAAAAAGACTCATTTCACCCAAAAAGCCTCCCACAACCAACAGCCAAAAGCAAAAACCTCATGTCCTCCTTCAGCAAGTCTTTTATACCCAGTGGTAAACAAGGAGGTGGAGCAACGGCTCTCCAGGAGGGGCGTGACACTGTAGCAATAGAACATGTGTTCCTGCTTCTCTGAATGTAAAC